TGCGAGCGCCTTTCAGGTTATGTCGATATAGGACTAGTTTTTACTGTAGATACTTTTGTACCTGTTTCCTCCAGCATCTTCACAAGGTCGTTTGCTGTTGTTCTGGGATTGATTTGCACTTTTCGCACCAAAGTACGTTCATCTCTAGGAGACAGAACACGTCTCCTTCCTAAGCAGTATGACGGCTGCGTGGTCCCATGGTGTTTATATTTGCATACTATTGTTTGTACAGATGAACGTGGTACCTTCAGGCATTTTGGAAATTGCTCCCAAGGATGAACCAGACTTGTGGAGGTCTACAATTTCTTTTCTGAGGTCTTGGCTGATTTCTTTTGATTTTCCCATGATGTCAAGCAAAGAGGCACTGAGTTTGAAGGTAGGCCTTGAAATACATCCACAGGTACACCTCCAATTGACTCAAATGATGTCAATTTGTTCACGATCGTCTAGTGAGGGAGACCAAGGCGCAGCGTTGCGGGTGAACATATTGATATTTATTTACTAGATCACACGATCAAAACAAAGAACGAAACGTGAAGTCCTTCGATACACAACCAAAAGGAACAAGAAACCACAAAACACAAAGTGCAAGACAAACAGTTAAATATGGCTCCCAATCAGAGACAACCCAGCTGACACTCGTTGCCTCTGATTGGGAGTCACTCAGACCAACATAGAAAATTAAACATAGACTTACACACCTGGCTCAACATAACATAGTCCCCAGAGCCAGGGCATGACAGTACCCCCCCCCCCCAAAGGCGCGGACTCCGGCCGCGCCAAACAACCACAACAGGGGAGGGACCGGGTGGGCACTCCGCCTCGGCGGCGGATCCGGCTCCGGACATGACCCAGGCACGGGTTGTGCTGGACTGACGACGCACACCCCTGGCTTGCTGCGTGGAGGAGGAACAGGCCGGACCGGGCTGACGAAGCGCACCCCTGACTTGGTGCGGGGAGCAGGAATGAGCTGGACCGGGCTGACGACGCGCACCACTGACCCGGTGCGGGGAGCTTGGACGGGCCGGACCGGGCTGGCGACGCGCACCACAGACTTGGTGCAGAGAGCAGGAACGGGCCGGACAGGGCTGACGAAACGCACCATAGACTTGGTGCGGAGAGCAGGCACGGGCCGTGCCGGACTGACGACGCACACCACTGGCTTGGTGCGGGAAGCTTGGATGGGCCGGACTGGGCTGGTGACGCGCACCACAGACTTGGTGCGGAGAGCAGGAACGGGCCGGGCTGGCCTGTCGACACACACCGTAGGTTTGGTGCGGGGGAGCAGGAATAGACCGGGCTGGGCTGGCGACGCACACCGTAGGCTTTGTGCGTGGAGCAGGAACAGGCCGGGCTGGGCTGTCGACGCACACCGCTGACTTGGTGGGAATGGCAGGAACAGGCCGGGCCGGGCTGACGACGCGCACCACTGACTTGGTGGGAATGGCAGGAACAGGCCGGGCCGGGCTGACGACGCGCACCACTGACTTGGTGGGAATGGCAGGAACAGGCCGGGCTGGGCTGACGACGCGCACCACTGACTTGGTGGGAATGGCAGGAACAGGCCGGACCGTACTGGGGACACACACCACTGGCCCCACGCAGGGATCAGGAACGGGCCGGACCGGACTGGTAACACACCCCAGTACCTCTCGCCGTGCCTCCACACTTTCCCTCTCCTCTGTGCCCAGTGGCCCCCCTAACCTGGCGGCCTTCTCTGCCAACGCTTTGCACCGCTCTAACCTGTACACCTGCTGGCCCGACGTCGTGAGCCCCCCCCTAAAAATTTCCTGGGGGTCTCTCCTCCCTCTTGCCAGACTCGCAATCATCTCCTCCCACGTCCATCCTCTCTCCTCGTCACGCTGCTTGATCCAGTCGAGGTTGCCACGGAGATCTGCCAGCGATGGCTCCTGAACACGCTGCTTGGTCTGGTTAAGGTGGTTTCTTCTGTCACGATCGTCTAGTGAGGGAGACCAAGGCGCAGCGTTGCGGGTGAACATATTGATATTTATTTACTAGATCACACGATCAAAACAAAGAACGAAACGTGAAGTCCTTCGATACACAACCAAAAGGAACAAGAAACCACAAAACACAAAGTGCAAGACAAACAGTTAAATATGGCTCCCAATCAGAGACACCCAGCTGACACTCGTTGCCTCTGATTGGGAGTCACTCAGACCAACATAGAAAATTAAACATAGACTTACACACCCTGGCTCAACATAACATAGTCCCCAGAGCCAGGGCATGACACAATTAGCCTATCAGAAGCTTCTAAAGCCATGACATCATTTTCTGGAATTTTCCAAGCTGTTCAAAGGCACAGTCAACTTAGTGTATGTAAACTTCTGACCCACTGGAATTGTGATACAGTGAATTATAAGTGAAATAATCTGTCTGTAAACAATTGTTGGAAAAATTACTTGTGTCATGCACAAAGTAGATGTCCTAACCGACTTGCCAAAACTATAGTTTGTTAACAAGAAATTTGTGGATTGGTTGAAAAACAAGGTTTTAATGACTCCAACCTTAGTAAACTTATATATATATATATATATATATATATTTGCGAGAAGAAAAAAACATATGGGGGATTGGAAGTGATGCAGACAATTACATTGATGGAAGTTACAATCTATCTGCAATATTAAAGCTGATCTACCCTCAAAAATTTTTTTAAATTAAACTGAGCTCTGTCTACTTATGAAAAGCAGACTCATCTCTAAGTCAGTCGGTAAGTCAGTCTCTCCACCTCTCTCGCTCTCTCTCTCTCTCTCTCTCTCTCTCTCTCTCTCCTCTCTCTCTCTCTCTCTCTCTCTCTCAGCCTGTAGCCCATGTGCCTCTCTGCTTTGAATTCTCCGCCTTTGAAGTCTGAGGTCATGTCTAACAGCCTTCTCAAACTGAACAGTGTGGTGCTCTGTAGTCCTCACATGGCTGTGAACATTATGGCTGTAAAGTCTACTCTGTTATATACAGTTTCTGTCAAGGCATGCAAGTTATACTGTATGTTAGCCTTGTGTAGGGAATTAATCTTAATATGCAATAAATCTGGTTCAAGCCACATGGTCCGCAGCACATCAGATGATGAAACCCTTGGCAAGAGTTAAAGAGAGAGTAGTAGGTTGGAAAACATTATATATATTTCTCTCTCTCTCTCTCTCTCTCTCTCTCTCTCTCTCTCTCTCAGTGAAGAGAGGGATGGCATCAATGGTGAAGCCCACCTTTCAGAACTCCATAGAGGATGTCAATTTACTATATGAGGTGAGACATTTTCCTTGGATGACTACAGTAGCAAATATTGTATGAATCCTCTGCGTCAATAACCAAAAACATGGGTTTGTAATGAGTCTACTGTTTTTGGCTGTGCTGTGCAGATCCTGCTGGCTGGCCTGCAGTTTGGAGACGAGCGCACTCTGTTCTCCGTGCAAGACGAGGAGTTGGCCTCCCTACGGAAGACCAGAAAGCTGGAAGTCATCTGCGAGGACATCCTGCCCAAAACACTCTCTGACATTCGTCGCCTGACATCTGACCTTTCCAATCACATGGGCCGCCTGCGCCTGGAGGACTTTGAGCGCACTGTGCTGACCATGGTGTACACAGCCCAGCGGCTGGCCAACGCTACCACAGACCAGCAGAGAGACTTGTGGGCAGAGTCCTTTGTCAGCTTGTACAGAGCTATCAAGCTGGACCTGATAGGCTGAGAACGACCACACAGCTAAATGATATCGCTATGTTGGGGATTTATACTATACTGATACATGTCATTGCCTTTATTTCCAGGTCTCTATTGGAGAAGGAATTTATCTCATTTTCTATTAATCATTATAGGTACAGTGTTTCAGCATGATTTTCTTGGCAACCCCTGAGTACTATCGTATCACACGGACTCAAAATTACAGTTTCTGAGATATACTTTAATCATATTGCTGTTTTTTACAATACATTTCTTTGATTTATTTAAAACGTTTTTAAAGGTTTATTACTAGTGTTACCCTGAACCAACTTGGAAATGCGGAGAAATCAGTATGTTTACATTAATTTTAAAAAATCTAGATATTTCTTTAAAAAGCACCAATTTTAGTAAAATTCGTATACAGTTCTTATACATTGTGTTATCATTAAATACAAGTTCCACCGATTTTTGTATTTTTATTAACAATGTACAACATTTCCAAGCTTTGAAAGAATGTTTCACAGCAAAAAATCAGCGGTAACCCTCGTTAGCCGACAAACGCATGGCTTTTCATAGCTTTTCATGGCTTTTTTTGGGGCCGTGTCTATCTGCATTAGAGCTGTCAAATTGTATAGCAGCTGCTGTTGTAGTCATTGTCACGAAACCACACCTGTCCTTATATCCTACCCATGTTAAAAGTTTAGAACGAGAAAGTGTAGGCTATATAGAAATAATGACACACGTTTAAAATCATTAAACAACATAATAGGGATTTATATCAAGCTAAACAAGATGTACATTACATCACACATTCCAGTGTTTGAACTTGTAACGTGGCTGCATGTGATTTCTACTAATGCTACTGGGTGCATCCAATGGCAACGTCTGTGATAGGTAACGCCAGGAGCCGCTTGTGGATTATTACCGCTCTAATGCAGTTACACCTCCGACACTGCCTAAACAAAAGCAATGAAAAGCTATGCGTTTGTTGGTTAACACGTGTTACTGCTGATCTGATTTTGGCCAATAAGTGAGTAGAAAATGTTTGATTAAATAAGTATGGATAGTGTTCTTTTACAGTGTCTTCAGAGCAGGACAGGAGGTCCATGTCACGAGAGCTGCCTTTGTTATTGTTCTTCTTGTTGTTTTAGCCAGAGTCTGGGCTTGCTCTGTGTTCATAAGGCCACTGATCTGATGATATGTGAGGGCTCTGGCTTCCCAGGCTGCTTGTGGGTCTCCGAAGAGTCCACCCCGGGCTTGTCCTGTGAGCTGGGTGCATTCAGAGGGAGGAACGGCACATATCGAACCCAGGTGTAGGAGGAGAGGCAAGAGCTGATTCCAAATGGAAGGTTGTACACCTCGCTGCTCTCCAAGGTGTTGCTGGAGTCGTTCAGGTGGATCTTGTTCCAGGCTATGATGCCACGCTCCCGCTTGGTTCCTGTGTGACCCAAAGCAGTGGCGTTAGAATGCTTCAACTCACCTATAACAGAGACTTGTGAATCTTAGGGAATATGTATAATGTTTTTGAGGTCTGGGGAGGAGATTAACTAACATTGAATATGTCTACTCTTTACCTAATCATTACTCTATGTGAAACAGTTGGATAGATATTCCCCCTTCTTCCTGGATGGAAGCTTACCAGGAATGGTGTTGTCAAGGAAGAACCCAAAGAAGCCTCCAACAAACATGCTGGTTGTCAGAAGCACCTGCAGCAGTTGGTCCAGCTCGACCACACCTGACAAAGAGAATACAGTTCATCACACTGGGCTAATTCACATACTAGAGGAACCTTAGATCTCCATGTTGATATTCTGTGGAGCTTTTCCCCAAGCTTTTTTGTAAAGAAGTTTGAATGTTTTGTTTTACAGTGTTTCATGCGTCATCTGCTCTGATACCTGTTGCTATGGCATCTGGGTTCTTGAATATCCAGTTTGGAATAACCAGCCCGGAAAACATGGAAAATCCAAAGATAAAAATGTTCCGGGAGGAGTTCATGTCTGCATACTGTCAAATGATAAGGAGAGAGGAGTTGACAAAGAAACAGAATCAACCAGTCATTAGGGTTGCAAAATTCCGATAACTTTCCCAAAATTCCCATATTTTCCATAAATCCTGGTTGGAGGATTCCCGGAGATCCTGCTTATTCCCTCCTGATACCAGGAATATTTCAACCGGGATTTCTGGAAAACCTGAGAATTTTACCTGAATTTTGCTACCCTACTAGTCAGTAAAGACCTGAATGAAAAAGCATTCATATGCAAAATGTCTTCAGAATGGCCATTGTACAATAACAATGTGTAAATAAACCTAGGTAACTGTCCAAAGCGGTTTGAGTCTCCACAGGAGTTTACCTGCAGATTTGAAACTCCAGCTGCAGATATGACGCCAAACATGACCAAGAACATTCCTCCAACCACAGGTGTGGGGATGGTGGTGAAAATGGCCCCAATTTTACCAAACAGTCCCATGATGATCAGCAAGACGCCACCAGCAACGATCACCATTCGACTGCCAACCTGTAAGAAAAGAGAACATTGTCTGTTGAGACTGTTCACAGCCAATCGCTTTATACCTTCCATCTTCCAAGAAATATTGATTCAGCTCAGTTTAACATCTAAAAACAGATCCTATATTGAAAAATAGCCCATCTCACCTTGGTGATCCCCAATGCTCCCACATTCTCACTGTAGGAGGTGGTTCCGTTGCCCGTGCCCCAGGCTCCAGCCAGCAGACAGCCAAGCCCCTCGATGCCAATGCCCCTGTTGATGGCATGCTTGGGTGGAGGAGGGGCCCCTGACAGCCTGGCACAGGCGTGGTAGTCCCCCACCGACTCTATCATGGAGGATATCACCCCAGCCAAGATCCCTACCACTCCCGCCAGGCTCACAGTTGGTAAGCCCCACTGACCTGAGTTTGGAATCAGAATCAGGTGGTCCAGTTAATTTATAATACATTAGGGTCTTTCTAATAATGTGCATATCAATAAACCATCCATATTTGTTACCCATATAGTACTAAAGGTTAGGGTTAGGGTTAGGATAGGTGATAAGCCCTGAGTTTTTCCTGACCATGTGACCTGACCATGTGACCAGACCAGGAAAAACTTCTCCAAACATCTGATTGTCAGGTTATGGAGTTGTTGCTTATGATTCCCCCTGAGCAGCTGTGCCTCGTACATGGATATGGGAATCTGAACCAGGGGGCCTGGACTATGACATCCCCCTTCAGGTCTGTGCGAGCCAGGTAGCCGTACTGCTCCGGCTGTGAGGGCAGGACATCAGAGATGGTGAAGATGTAGCAGATCAGCCATGACAGTGTGATGCCAAGGAGCACCTGAGGAAGACGTCACATACAGTACATGTAAATATATCACACCAGTCATTATTAGGACCAGGAGTTATTCCAGACCAGTGAAACTGACCAGGGAAAACTCTGGGCCCTATATAAGGGCTTGAGAGAACAGTGAACAGCTTTGAGTCTTAATTTTCCAATGGACTTACTGGTAGAATCTGGAAGATGTAGATCTTGGAGGTGTGGAGTTTCTTGGTCTTGCTGTATGTGGGGAATGGTACAGGGATGTGTCGGAGGTACTGGGAGAACAGGATGATCAGAGCAGTCGTCCTGTAGGAAAGAGAATAACTCTGTTCACAAAGCAGAATGCACCCTCTAGTTATGCACTTAGCATGGGTACCATCTTACAGTATGTAGCCTATGACATGCATGAATTTATAGCTTACGCCAAACCTGGTCTGGCACAGCTAGAGGGTGTGCATGCTTTTGTTACCACCCTAACTACAGCCGATTCATTGAATCTGGAGTTTTAATGCTGGGCAGGAACACAAACCTGCACACCTTATGGCTCTCCAAGTCAAGGGTTGATGACTACAGGCTTGTGGGGGTTTTGGAGTAAAACCCATAAATCAGACTTAAATAACCATACTAAGAGGTACACACATAGTTGAGATGCCCCAGTGGTTCCCTGCATTCATTCCAGCTGAGTCGTAGAGGGACAGGCCAATCAGAGAGATGGTGGGTGCGATGGTGAGGGGGCCAATGAAACGCATGAAGAGACCGATGAGGCCAGAGAAACCCACCAGGACCTGGAACAAGGAGCCCACCATAATGGAGCCCTGCAGCTGTAGAGGAACAACACACAAATCACATAGGCATATACACACAATCAATAACCACAAGTAATACAGGAAATCCTATAGAAATGGTCAAACGTGGCTAAACTCTCCCTCTCTCTCTATAATATACACTGAGTGTACAAAACATTAGGAACACCTTCCTAATATTGAGTTGCACCCCCTTTTGCCCTCAGAACAGCCTCCATTTGTTGGGGCATGGACTCTACAAGGTGTCAAAAGCATTCCACAGGGATGGTGGCCCATGTTAACTCCAATGATTCCCACAGTTGTGTCAAATTGGCTGGATGTCCTGTGGGTGGTTGACCATTCTTGAGACACACAGGAAACTGTTGAGCATGAAAAACCCAGCAGCGTTGCAGTTTTTGAGACACTCAAACCGGTGCGCCTGGCACCTACTACCATACCTCGTTCAAAGGCACTTAAATATTTTGTTTTTCCCACTCAGCCTCTGAACGGCACACATATACAATCCATGTTCAATTGTCTCAAGGCTTAAAAATCCTGCTTTAACCTGTCTCCTCCCCTTCATCTACACTGATTGAAGTGGATTTAACAAGTGACATCAATAAGGATTCACCTGGTCAGTCTATGTCATGGAAAGAGCAGTTGTTCCTAATGTTTTGTACACTCAGTGTATATGCCATTAGCAGACGTTTTTATCCAAAGGGACATACATTTTTCAGTATGTATGGGTGGTTCGAACCCTGGCATTACAAGCGCCGCGCCATGCCACAGAAGAGAGAGAGAGAGAGATAGCGAGATAGAGAGAGAGAGAGATCGAGGAGAGAGAGAGAGAGATAGCTATCAGATCTAGATAGCGCGTATCGCTCTATATCGATATCTTTCTCGCGATAGAGATATAGCTATCTCTCTCTCTCTCTATCTGCTCTCTCTCTCTCTCTCTCTCTCTCTCTCTCTCTCTCTCTCTCTCTCTCTCTATCTGTCTATCTGTCTCTCTGTGTGTGTAGTAAGTGTGTCACTCACCGCTCGCATGCGGCTCTGCCACACCTCTACATACTCAGGAGAGGTGGTGTTGACCATGGAAGCGTTCTGGGTCCAGGCAGGGCACGTCCATTCTGGCATCGACAGCATGGCCATGGAGGGAGCCAGCAAGGTGAAAGTACCCCCCTGAAGAATGGGCAGTCTGAGGGATAGACAGATTAGGGAGAGAGAGCGAAAGAGAGAGGGGGGGGGAAGTATGATGTCTGAAATCACAAATTGCAAAGATCAGATGTTCTGTCTAGAGACTAGTACATAAGGAATTCATCCCCATGATCAATTTCACAGTGAATTAGGATTAATTTAAATCCCTTTGCTTTGTAGTATCATCCGAAACAGACTTGTACAGTAGTAGTGTCACACCCTGATCTGTTTCACCTGTCTTGTGCTTGTCTCCACCCCCCACCAGGTGTCTCCCATTTGTCGCCATTATCCCCTGTGTATTTATCCCAGTGTTTTCTTTTTGTCTGTTGCCAGTTCGTCTAGTCTCGTCAAGCCTACCAGCGTTTTTTCCATGCTCCTGTTTTCCAGTCCCTGTTTTCTAGTCCTCCCGGTTCCGACCATTTCTACCTGCCCTGACCCTGAGCCCGTCTGCCATACCATTCTGCCTGCTCTGACCTCGAGCCTGCCTGCCGTCCTGTACCTATCTGTCTCTGACCTGCTTTACGAACTTCTGCCTGTCCTCGACCTGCCTCTTGCCTGCCCCTTGTCTATTAATAAATATCAGAGACTCAAACCATCTGCCTCCTGGGTCTCATCCTGTGTCGTTATAAGTAGTTGGTATTGAGCTGAGATGCAGAGCACTACTGTAACATCATCCAATCAAAGGTTGCCTTTTAGGAATCAACCCCTCCTTTCTTTCCGTAGAGAACAGTCTCAATCGACTCCAAGCCAAAGTATAGGTCCTTAGCTAACCCGATCCAAAACACGCAGCCTCCAGGTCCAAACAGCATGGCCTGCCTGACTCACACAGCACATTGTTTCTCTAGATCTAATTTTAGGCCTTGAAAGGCTGATTCAAATCTTGTGAGGAGGTTATGTAAAAACCATGTCTTTCCAATCAAGACTCCTACAGGTTAATATAATGACTATCTGGTGTGTGTGTCTCAATCCTCTGATACGTTAGGCCCCATTTTCAATATACTACTGATGACAGATGGATCGGTAATGACAATGGACCCATTAAATACAGTGAACTGATCATTTTTCTGTTTGTAAATGTTTACTCCTATGGCATTACAATATAATTAGCTACGTTTCTAACTGACACATATAAATGTACGTTTCTAACTGACACACGTATAAATGTGTCACATCTCATAGCCTGATCAGGGTTGTGCTGGAGTTTTGCTCCCTACTAGCGAGTTCAACACATCCATTGTTTTCCTCACAGCTGACCTCCAGGCTTTTGGAGAAAGACAAGAAAGTATCAGTAGGTCTTTGCCTGCAGGAATGTGGACTTAATGTGAGCTAGTTTATCGACCTAATAAAATGGAAATTCCTACCTAATCCTATTATGATGTTATGATGCAAAACTCTGGGTCAGGTTTTGGTTGGACCTGGGCAGTTGGGAAGTGCCATACATGGCCTTACAGTACACCATAGATAGAACAACACCTTGCTTACAGCACACCATAGATAGAACAACAACTCTCGTTTGCCATCCTCAGTCAGAAAATAGATGTTTCTGAGAGAAAGTGTGCACTTGCATACCATACTAAGCTCTAGCTAGTGCACAATAATGGCGCATGCTTTAATAACCTAAAGCCCCAGTGCCCACTGCATAATAACCTATTGTGTGAGGCAAATGCATCACACAGATCTGAAAAACATACTCCAAAGGTCAGCAGAGGCTTAGAAGGAAACTTAAGAATCTACTTCAGGGGTGTCAAACTAATTTTGCTCCGGGGGCTTCATTCGGTCTTCAACAAGGTCTGGAGGGCTGCGCTACATTAATATTACCTCACCGTCAAGCTATCTATCCATAGTTTTGGCAATTTTCTTGCTTTCAATTTGGTGATTATTAGTGAGCTGGACACAGTCAAGAAACTGTATTAATGTAGGTCAATTATTATTTCTACACAGTTTGGACTTGGTTTTATTAGTTTTAAAGTATATTGATTTCATGGAATTCATGGCACTTTGTTTTGATTCCAACATGACAAGACAACAAGGAGATGCCAAGCCTCGCCCTCCACCTTCATGGTGTTTCCATATATCATGGGTGGCTCCACCTTCACAAGAGGTTATCTTTTTAAGGTCAATCTTCATTGACCAAATAAAGTTTGGGCCCTTTGTTATTTTCTTCCCCTTTATGTCAACAGTCACTCTGTTGTTGCTGATGAATGATTGGCCCAAAGCCATGTCCAACCAACCACAGCTCCCCTCCTCACCTGATTCCAAAGGTGACCTGCAGCAGGGTGCACACGCCTGACACAAAGAAGATGGTGCTGATGAGGTGACCCTGGGTCAGGCCGTCGTGCTGCAGACACAGACCCTGAGACAGGATCAGAGGGATGGCGATGATCCCTCCAAACGCTGTCAGGCAATGCTGAGGAGAGAGAGAGAGGGGGATGGAGGGAAGAGAGGAAGAAGAGGGTTAAACCCACCGAGGATACTGAAGCCAGGGTTAAACCCACCGAGGATACTGAAGCCAGGGTTAAACCCACCGAGGATACTGAAGCCAGGGTTAAACCCACCGAGGATACTGAAGCCAGGGTTAAACCCACCGAGGATACTGAAGCCAGGGTTAAACCCACCGAGGATACTGAAGCCAGGGTTAAACCCACCGAGGATACTGAAGCCAGGGTTAAACCCACCGAGGATACTGAAGCCAGGGTTAAACCCACCGAGGATACTGAAGCCAGGGTTAAACCCACTGAGGATACTGAAGCCAGGGTTAAACCCACTGAGGATACTGAAGCCAGGGTTAAACCCACTGAGGATACTGAAGCCAGGGTTAAACCCACCGAGGATACTGAAGCCAGGGTTAAACCCACTGAGGATACTGAAGCCAGGGTTAAACCCACCGAGGTACTGAAGCCAGGGTTGAACCCACCGAGGATACTGAAGCCAGGGTTAAACCCACTGAGGATACTGAAGCCAGAGTTAAACCCACCGAGGATGCTGAAGCCAGGGTTAAACCCACCGAGGATACTGAAGCTAAGAAGAGCAGCTGAAATCACAGGTACAGGTACAGTATTTGCCATCAGCCTCAACTAAAATCCCGCTGTTGAATCTTTAAGATTGTATTCTTGAGGTCCTCATGTGACTTGGTGACTTTTATTTTAATTTGAGCCCAAATGTATCCTGAGAAACTAGGTTATTTGACTGTTCATCCAATTGATTACGCTGCCTAATCAAATCAATGGAATCCCGAGGAGGCCCATCCTCTGCTGCAGCCAGGTCAACCTCAACCAGTGAGCCTTCAATAAGACAGAGTAGGGCTTGGACCTACCTGGATGCCCAGGATGATGCATAGGTACCAGGGTGGGACGTCTGTGACACAGTAAGCCAGTCGGTTCTTGTCGTCCTCCTCAGAGGGGTCGGAGCCCTCGCCATCCTTCTCCAGATCACAGAAACGCCCATCAATCTACAGGACAGAGACCAGGGTCATTCATTGGGGCACACAGACATAATATCACTCATAACACAGGCATAATTTCACTCACAGGCATAATTTCACTCATAACACAGGCATAATATCATTCATAACATAGGCTTAAAACATGTTAATGCAGTGGGCTAAATCAGGGTCACACAGAGTGATTCTTGGTAGTCTTAAACAAATCTACTGTGAAACAAAAGTATACACCTCACACACATGGTTATGGGCTTAAAAAAAGAAGGCACATGTACCATGTCAGATATAGAGTTGAAATGTATTTGATTTTAAGTTTTCATCCCAATATTACACTTTATATACATCACAGAAGACTTAAATATAGCAAAACTGTTTGACATAGAAACACTGCATTTTCATCTGTTTTTTTTAAATAATATTTATTGATGATGAAATTATGAAAAATATTAATAACATTCCACCCATGAGGCCAAAGAGGGCGCATTTGGTCATTTACTGCAGGAAAGGGGTAGCTACTATCACCCATAGGGGTTTTAAATGATTTACTGAAAGTGTTTTGTTAAGACATTCTGGAAACCCATGTCACTTATAGTTGTGCACCAAAGCCAGCCTATCAGTGCTTGCTGAATAGATTCACTCAGAGATGTGTGTAGACTGTTTTAAGTTTGCTTAAGGTGTTGATAATCTTAACTCGTGTTAATTTAATGTTCACACCTCCTGTACAAGCACATAATCATAATGCATCAAAATCATTAAGAGCAAACTCCCCCCTAAGTGAGTCACAGGCTGTTCAAATACAAAGGAAAAGTTTTAGCTTCACTGTCCAAATACATATGGAGAACACTGTATTCTCGCTATTAATAGTGCTAATACATTGTGGTCATTCTTACACTATCGAGGTTTAGTTGCTAATTGTTCATGTCATATTTGACTTGAATGTTGGCTGTATAGCATACAGTATATGATATAATATGAATAAATGTCTTATCTCATTAAACTATACAAATCCTTTATTTCAGGCAAACGTATACTTTTGATCATGGGGTTGGGGAGGTGTGCCACTTTCTGTACAATGAGGTCATTTCTGGACAATATTTCTGCAGATAATAAAGGCCTTATTAGCTACTTATATACACACTTATAAATTACAAATGAGTGGCTAATATGTGTACCTAAATGAAGTGTTACCGCATTAGCAACACACGATCTTCAGGGCTATCATGGACAAAATCAATTTTATCAGAAATATGTTTGTCAACAAATCAACATTTGCAACAACTCACATAGAAACCTAGTATCCTTCAAGTTTCTTCTTGCCCCTTACTGTTTCCTGTAATTTTGCAGTCAATGATTTGCACCAGAGAGCCATTATAAGTAAGTTATGCATGAGGGACTGATTGAGGGTCAGGTGATCATCCCAGTGGAACAACACTTCTCAGCCTACTAAGAATGAGCAGCTTCATTCTGCTCCACCAAACCCATACTAGAGCACAAATCCTCTTATTTCAAGGTATTCATGTGACTGTTGGGTTGAAATAGCGTTCATATAAACAAGACCCATTCAAAGGAATTCACTCTGACTTCTTGGAAATGATTAACTTACTATTGTAGCCAGTTACAGTATGATAGTGCATTGCAATCTGGAGAGTACCACATGTGTTATGATATGGTAATTAGTTAAGAGGAAGAGGTCAATATATCACCCAGGCTGAAAATCACTGGGAATTTCTTTCTTTGTTTGAGTTTACACATTAATCTATGTGCAGAATGTGCATTACATGTGTTCCCTCAAAACTTGTACCTGTAATAGGTGGCACTCGCACATGTTCATCTCCCATACTACGAAAACTATAATTGTTGAATATTGTGTAAATAAACATATCTAAATGTTACAGTGTTTATGCTTTACAGCCAGTAACTTTTATTTAGGTTTAATATGAACATAATCTTTACTCCAAGTCACTGCAGCAAATGTCAACATAATCCTCCAGCACTGGAATAAATGTGTTCATACTTACAGCAAATGCGTAGTTTTCGAGACCATTGCTTTCCTTCTCTGGAGCCATGGCTCCAGTCTGGACTCAGCTAGGATGTTGGGTCCTCTGAGTTATGAGTGAATAATCTCAACAATGTCAACAAGCAAAGAGGAGAGAGAATACAGGAGAGAGAGGAAAAAAGAGAGAGAGTATGCGGGGAGGGGGCGAGAGAGAGAGAGAGAGAGAGAGAGAGAGCAAGATAAAGTGAGGGAGTGATAGGGGAAGGAGGGATGGAGAGAGAGAAGTAAAGAGAGAGTTGAAACACGAGACTACTGCTGTTGCTGATTGTAACTGAAATGAGTCCCACCACCAGCTGCTCATGTGAACCCAATTACAACAGCAAGGCAAGCAGCTGATCAGGCCCTCGCGACCGTGGAGCACTACCTCTACCTTTCTTTCTCTCTCTTTCTTTTATTGGCATGACAAAAAATAATTGTGTTGCCAAAGCACAATGTTAAACTATTTGAAACAATAACACATTGAGACATTGGAATCATAAACACTCTCTACTGTATAACCGTGAAGCCAGTACCGTCTACCAGAGAAAAATACTGTATGTGTTTCAACCTCTTTGAAATGTATGACATGTACCCATTAATTCTTGAAGAATATAACTTATAAATGCCTCATGAGCTTAGTTCAACTGTCATACCCTATCAGAACCCAAAATATAAGCTTGTTTTACTCTAATGTTTGTAAACAAAGTAAATGTAAACAAACACTATATAACCTCAAAACATGGTTAAAACTATAATTTTGATATCATGGATGGTCGGTCCTTGGATCCATCGCTCGGTCTATGAATTTAAGAGTCGTTACATTTCTCCAGCCCCATCCCTCAGCTTTTTATCGAAAGAGGGGCGGGGAGAATGTTTTGTTCTTATTTCCATTTCAAATCAAATCAAATCAAATTGTATTTGTCACATGCGCCGAATACAACAGGTGTAGACCTTATAGTGAAATGCTTACTTACAAGCCCTTCACCAACAATGCAGTTTTAAGAAAGAATACCAAAAGAAATCACAAAAAAATTAAAAATTAAATAATAAGGAATAAAAGTAACAAATAATTAAAGAGCAGCAGTAAAAATAAAAATAGCGAGGCTATATACAGGGGGAACCAGTACCGAGTCAATATGCGGGGGCACCGGTTTCAACTGCTGATTGCTACTTTAAGGATTTTTAAAGGTATTCATTTAACCCCCTAAAGTCGATGTCCACGCCCCCACAAAAATCGAATTAACATAATAAAAAAATCCCCATAAAAATCTGTCAGATATAGATATATCTCAATCCACCTCATCCGCTGATGTGACCCCCACAAACGTCTTGGGACTCGTCTGAAGTCGGTACAGCCGATCTGCCAACTTCTGTATGTAGCGTCTGAACAGTTTAGGCTACACACTAACATGACACCTCTGTGGAAAGGTGAGACTCTCAAGAACATGTACATGTTGTTTTGCTCTGGGATGCCCATAGGCCTCACAAGACTCGTCTTAAGGTCCCCTGGTACCAGTTGAAAACATTTATGGAAGTGTATATAGAGAGTATTTAGTGCCAAAAATAAGGGGTTAAATAAATGTACAAATAAATATAAAAAAAGTTACATTTAAAATCAGATAGCTAAATGATCCTTCGTATGACGTTCTTAAACAATTCCATATAGCTTGGTATAACCACTCACCAGTTTAGACTGTTATGGGTTAACCCTTATTTTACCAGGTAAGTTGAGAACACATTCTCAGCAACGACCTGGGGAATAGTTAAAGGGGAGAGGAGGGATGAATGAGCCAATTGGAAGCTGGGGATGATTAAGTGGCCATGATGGTATGAGGGCCAGATTGGGAATTTAGCCAGGACACAGGGGTTAACACCCCTGCGAAAAGTGCCATGGGATCTTCTAGTGACCACAGAGAGTCAGGACACCCGTTTAACATCCCATCCGAAAAACAGCACCCTACACAGGACAATGTCTCTGGGGCATTGGGATATATGTATTTTTTGTTTGACCAGAGGAAAGAGTGCCTCCTACTGGCACTCCAACACCACTTCCAGTAGCATCTGGTGTCCCGTCCAGAACCAAACCTGCTTAGCCAGCAGTGGGATGCAGGGTGGTTTGCTGCTGGCTGGGGGAGGGACTATTAAACATATGACGGCACATGAGCAAACCCTGGTCATTAGCATGCAATTTTGTGGTCACACTGTAATGGCCGGATTGAAATCAACTCAATGTTGAGCTGGTCAGAGGGGATATGGCCCCGTGTAGCTCAGATGGTAGAGCATGGTGCTTGCAACGCCAGGGTTGTGGGTTTGATTCCCACGGGGGGCCAGTATGAAAAAAATAATGTATGCACTCACTAACTGTAAGTCGCTCTGGATAAGAGCGTCTGCTAAATGACTAAAATGTAAAAATGTAAATCTGGAATCAATTGGCCCAGGAAATTGATATCACATGAAGGCTAGTATCCACTGGGCCGCCGAAGTATGTCATGAGTTCCCCTCGTGTGTGTGTGTGTGTGTGTGTGTTGACATTACTGTCACGTGACCCTATCAGTCCCTACTAGTGTCACTCACAAGACTTCACTCTGTGATGGAGACATGCATCAGTCAAGCCAAACACTTTTACTCAAAGGCACATGATGCCCAGACAGCGGAGCATCTGTAATGTAGTCTACATTATGTTGTTATTATAGAATTGGGTTAAAGGTTGTTAGACGATCAATTGACGTGATGATAAAACTGCATTTTGCTATGCAGGAATCATGAAAGGTCTTTCTTGATTTTCATTGAAGTTTGGATCTACAGTAAATGTTTTTTCTGAAAAAGCATTGAGTGGTTAAAGACACAGCAGTGGGAAACCCCTACTGTGCAAGAATCATTCTGACTAATGTACCGTATCCACCCTTAGGCAGTGAACGTTATTTATAACAAGGGTTACATGGAGAAAATCTGACATCTCTTTAATGAAAATGGATGGCCATCCCTTTAGCAAAATAGATTTGACCTAAACCCTCCCTGAACACTTGAAAAAAAAAAAGTGATCCTCCCCTATACCCAAAATAATAATTAAAACTAAGTGGACAGCAGAGAATATTGTCTACCGTTTACCCTCACATTTTGGACAGACCAGAGCCTTAAATATGCAGTTTTAGAAACTGTTCTTCATCCTGAAAGAATTTTATGGCAACGTAGGAATTTTGATAGCGGGCCAGAAGGTTGTGGGTTCGCAGACCACCGTGGACAAGAGAATAGATGGAAAGATCTCCTTTATAGTAAAACCATTGCATGAATCCATAGCCGTGGGAAGTAGGAGTGCTGAGGGTGCTGCAGAACACCCTGGAAAATCAGAATAAAAAAATAAAAAATAAAAAATAATCGCAGCACCCCCACACCCAAACATCTTCCTGCGGCAATGCATGAACCTATCATCGTATTTGCAGGTCAGAGAAAAAATTGCCTTTTATAAACATTTCATGCAATTATATATCATTTTACATATTAGCAGAATCTTTTTTAATACCACACAAATTACAAAAATGATGGGCTAGAATGGACAGAGAGATCAGCCTGGTCTCATAGACTAGACGTAACAGTAAAAGTAAATTAGTGACACTCAAATTTGTATGATATGTTACGTTTGGTATGGTTACATAACACAGATGGTTACTTAAGTCAGAAACAACAGCAGGGTGGATGGTTTGGCGTATAACACGAATGTCTAGCAACCCAAAGGTTGTGAGTCCCGTCACGGACAATTTTAGCTAATTAGCAACTTTTCAACTACTTCCTACTTTTTAGCTACTTTGCAACTACTTAGCATGTTAGCTAACCCTTCCCCTAACCCTAACCCTCTAACCTAACTCCAAAACTTAACCCTAACCCTCACCCCTGGCCTAGCTAACATTAGCCAGCTAGTTAACATTAGCCACCTAGCTAGAATTCATAACAAATCATACGTTGCGCAACTACGTAACATATTGTACATTTTGCAAATTCATAAAATATCATACGAATTGTAATTCGCAACATATCATACGAAATGGGTGATGGACATCCACAAATTAATATATACCATACGGAACGTAACATATCATACTAAATGGAGGGTTTCGGATTTATGTACATAATTATACGAAATGCTCTGAGACCAGGTTGCAGCGATAGGCCTGTGTTCATCTTATCATATTTCTCCAATGCCAAATCAGCGTATATTGTTTGCAAGGAACCTGTCCCTGTTTGCAAATAATAAGTAATAATGGTACTTTCAAAAGTTAGGCCTACCTTTCCAACCCAGGCATGCTTGCCGATGCAGAATAATGTAAGCTTTAACTGCTGGCTACTCTTCTTCAGTGGCTTAACCCAACGAGAGAAGGTCACAAGTGTTTCCCTAAAAGCTGTCTGGGTTTAAACATCTTCTATTGTACAGAAAGTGAATAGCTTAATCAATTGATAGTGACAGAATTTGATTAGTCTATTTTTTGTCTCCTCGGCTATAGAAGGTTGTAGCTCAGCCTCAATGTCAAAGAAACGAAACAATGTGTAACGTAGACGCAGGGAGTCAGGAAGCAAGTGCAGTTAGTGAGTTTAATGACGAAGAACATTGAACGAAACAAAACAAGAAAAGCGTCTAAACATGGAACAATATTGCCTGGTGGGTGATAACAATGGAGTGCTATATAAAGGGGAAGTAATCAGGGAGGTGATGAATTCCAGGTGTGCCTAATGAGGCGCAGGTGTGCGTAATGAAGGTTGCCAGGTGTGCGTAAGGATGGTTTGCCACGACCGGTGGTTAGTAGACCGGCGACGTTGAGCGCCGGAGAGGGGGAGCGGGAGTGGACGTGACAGGGAGCGAGAGACATCCTGTGCCAAGGTGGGCCACTAGTACTTAATGGAGATGGATTGAGTGGTGCGGGTGATACCTGGGTGGCCAGCAGCAAGGGATGTGTGCGCCCAGGTCAAAAGCCGATTCCTTACCTCTGTGGGAACGTAGGTGCGCTCCGGAGGACAGGTAGCTGGTGAGGGTTCCCTCTCCTGAGCCTGGCAGATGTCCACGTCTATGTCCCAGAGCACGGTGGCAACGATTTGGGAGGGCGGTATGATGGGACCACTCAGGACAGGAACCTCTCCCGAATCATGGAGTCAAGACAGAGCATCTGCTTTGATGTTATTTGAACCTGGGTGGTATGACAAGGTGAAGTTGAATCTAGTAAAGAATAGGGCCCACCTTGCTTGGCGCAGGTTCAGTCGCTTGGCTGTCCGTATGTACTCCAAGTTCCGATGGTCAGTGAGGATGAGAAACGGGTCCGTGGCGCCCTCCAGCTAGTGTCTCCAGTCCTCTAATGCCAACTTCACCGCCAGGAGCTCCCGATCACCGACATCATAGTTCCTATCTGCAGGGGACAGTTTTTTTGAGTAGTATGCACATGGATACAGTTTTTGTGGATTACCTTGACGTTGTGACAGGACAGCCCCCACGCCCACTTCTGAGGCATCCACCTCCACCACGAAGGGCAACGTAGGGTCTGTGTGTTTCAGCAATGGGGCGGAGGTGAAACGCCCCTTCAGCAGGCGGAAGGCCTCATCAGCTGCAGGATTCCACGCCAATTTACGGGGACCACCTTTGGGGAGAGAGGCGATGGAGCTGAAGTTCCTGATGAAGCGGCGGTAAAAGTTGGCAAACCCCAAAAAACGTTGTAGTCCCTTTATGGTCTAGTTTGGTAAAAAAAACTGGGCCCCGCGGAGCTATTCAATGGCGGCCGGCACCAACGGGAGGGGGTAGCGGTACTTGGTGGTGATGACATTGAGACCTCTGTAGTCAATACACGGACGAAGAAGAAACCAGCCGACGCAGGGGAGGTGGATGTGCGGATGAAACCCTGTTGGAGAGCCTCCTGGAAGTACTCCTCTATAGCCTTGGTTTCAGCCACCAACAGGGGGTGGATGCGGCTGCGCGGAGGCACAGAGTCTGTTAGCAGGTCAATGGCACAGTCCCAGAGGCGATGAGGAGCGAGACAGGTGGCGCGAATCTTGGAGAAAACCTCCCGGAGATCCTGGTAAACCTCTGGGATGTCGGCCTGGAAGGCAACCACAGGACTCTCAACCGACGTGGAATCACAAGGTAAGGGAAAGCAGGTCTTCCGGCATCCCAGTGCCCAGGCTGTAATCTCCATCCTCGGCCAGGAGATGGTGGGGTCGTGGCATTGGAGCCACGGGAGGCCGAGGATGACTTTGTGTACGGGTGCCTGGATGATGAGGAAAGGGAGGCTTTCTTGGTGCAAGGGTCCCATGGTGATGTTGAGTGGTGCTGTGATGTGTGTGACTGTGCCAGATTCCAGTGGTCGGTTATCCAGTCCTTGAACCGGAAACGGAGAGGAGAGTGGGTATTATGTTATGTTCAGGGAGGAGGCAAGGGCCTGGTCAATAAAATTCCCCACAGCTCCAGAGTCCACTAGAGCTGTGGAAACAACACATGAGGGACAGCCAGCTAGTGAAATCGGTACTAAGAAGGGTTTGGTGACAGATGATCGCTGGACCGTCCCTCTGCTCTAGTGGCTCTCGGGTTAGAATGTAGTGGACTCTGTTGAAGCTGGTGTCCCTCCTGGCCACAATAGGGACAGAGCCCCAGTTGTCTCCGACGGAGTCGCTCAGCCGCGGAGAGGCGTGTGGCCCCTACCTCCATGGGTTCAGGAGGAGGGAGAGAGGCGATGGGAGTGCCGACACTCCCGAAGGAGGTTATCCAGACGGATGGCCATCGCGATGAGTGTGTCCAATGAGAGGGTGTTGTCTTGGCATGCCAGCTCCGTCTGGACCTCCTCACACAATCCTCTTCTACAGTGAGGGAAAAAAGTATTTGATCCCCTGCTGATTTTGTACGTTTGCCCACTGACAAAGAAATGATCAGTCTATAATTTTAATGATAGGTTTATTTCAACAGTGAGAGACAGAATAACAACAAAATAATCCAGAAAAACGCATGTCAAAAATGTTATAAATTGATTTGCATTTTAATGAGGGAAATAAGTATTTGACCCCCTCTCAATCAGAAAGATTTCTGGCTCCCAGGTGTCTTTTATACAGGTAACGAGCTGAGATTAGGAGCACACTCTTAAAGGGAGTGCTCCTAATCTCAGTTTGTTACCTGTATAAAAGACACCTGTCCACAGAAGTAATCAATCAATCAGATTCCAAACTCTCCACCATGGCCAAGACCAAAGAGCTCTACAAGGATGTCAGGGACAAGATTGTAGACCTACACAAGGCTGGAATGGGCTACAATACCATCACCAAGCAGCTTGGAAGAAATGGAAGAAACACAAAATAACTGTCAATCTCCCTCAGCCTGGGGCTCCATCCAAGATCTCACCTCGTGGAGTTGCAATGATCATGAGAACGGTGAGGAATCAGCCCAGAACTACACGGGAGGATCTTGTCAATGATCTCAAGGCAGCTGGGACCATAGTCACCAAGAAAACAATTGGTAACACACTACGCCGTGAAGGACTGAAATCCTGCAGCGCCCGCAAGGTCCCCCTGCTCAAGAAAGCACATATACATGCCCGTCTGAAGTTTGCCAATGAACATCTGAATGATTCAGAGGAGAACTGGGTGAAAGTGTTGTGGTCAGATGAGACCAAAATAGAGCTCTTTGGCATCAACTCAACTCGCCATGTTTGGAGGAGGAGGAATGCTGCCTTTGACCCCAAGAACACCATCCCCACCGTCAAACATGGAGGTGGAAACGTTATGCTTTGGTGGTGTTTTTCTGCTAAGGGGACAGGACAACTTCCCTGCATCAAAGGGACGATGGACAGGGCCATGTACCGTCAGATCTTGGGTGAGAACCTCCTTCCCTCAGCCAGGGCATTGAAAATGGGTCGTGGATGGGTATTCCAGCATGACAATGACCCAAAACACACGGCCAAGGCAACAAAGGAGTGGCTCAAGAAGAAGCACATTAAGGTCCTGGAGTGGCCTAGCCAGTCTCCAGACCTTAATCCCATAGAAAATCTGTGGAGGGAGCTGAAGGTTCGAGTTGCCAAACGTCAGCCTCGAAACCTTAATGACTTGGAGAAGATCTGCAAAGAGGAGTAGGACAAAATCCCTCCTAAGATGTGTGCAAACCTGGTGGCCAACTGCAAGAAACATCTGACCTCTGTGATTGCCAACAAGGGTTTTTCCACCAAGTACTAAGTCATGTTTTGCAGAGGGGTCAAATACTTATTTCCCTCATTAAATTAATTTTCTGGATTTTTTTGTTGTTATTCTGTCTCTCACTGTTCAAATAAACCTACCATTAAAATTATAGACTGATAATGTCTTTGTCAGTGGGCAAATGTACAAAATCAGCAGGGGATCAAATACTTTTTTCCCTCACTGTAAATAAGGTGCGGAGCGCCGGCTCAATCCATCCGCTGCCACTGTACGAAAGGTGAGGGTGTACACCGCAGCGGGCTGCTCCTCCTGCCGTAGGTGGAGTAGGCGCTCACACCAAAAAAGCAGGGGAGCATGGCGTCCTTCCTGGTGCTCACCACTCTGGTTTGGTAAGGTCTCATCTGCTTTCAGTATAATGTATGAACTTAAGTATGAAAACACAAAAGTTCCTGTGTCAATTGAATACAAGCAAACTTCAGAGCCAACCAGACAGGCGATCTAAGAGAGACACATTTTATCAACATTTTTGGATAGTCAAAGCCTTTGTTGCAAAGGAAATCTGGGGACAAAAAGGTCATTCGGGGTGGTTGTTGTTATTGCTCTGAGTTGCTCTCTGACATTTTACAAACTAAATTATTACATTGATGTTATTGGACTGTGATCTATTCCAAAGTGTCCTATAGGAGAAAATAAATAAATGTTACTGCCATACCTTTCTCCACCACTAGAGAGAGACACACTCAAACCTTTCTATGTGTTGTACCAAACATGGCTCTGCTCTGTAGTACCACAAGGAGAAGTCCCTCACAAACAGCAGGCTGCTTATGATCCTGAAAAGTGAAGCAAGGTAGGCTACATTTACACAGGCAGCCCAATTCTGATATTTTTTACCCTAAATTGGTATTTTGACCAATCAAATTAGATCTTTTCACATTCAATCTTTTTCAGAGCATTTCTGATTTGTCAAAAATCTAATTCTGATCTTTTAAAAATACGAATGAGTGAAAAAAAGATCAGAATTGGGCTGCCTGTGTAAATGCAGCCGTGGTGTATGAGAGTTCATGTGGAGGCCAGAGTAGTAAAGATAAAGATATGTGGCCAGTAAACCAGTAGGAAGAGCAGCAACACCTACAACATGATATGACAACACAATATATTTTTAACTCAAGTTTCAAAACATTACATTGATTAAATTGATTATAATTATACAACAATAAATAATAAAATATCCCTTCAGATATAGATAGTATTGCTATTTTAGATAAAGATATCAAGCTCTTGGTACGTCAGTTCAGCACTGTTCATACTGCACTGGTAGTAAAAACATACTGTAGTGAAATAGAAAAGGTGCCACAAGGTAAATTGTAGCTGGGATATCTCAGCTCAGTGCAACACTGATTAGTGTTGGTGGATTACCAGGAAAGGCATAGTTAAACAGTAAACTTTACCCCTCCTCTTAATGATCATATGATGCTGGCTAAACACAATCTGCTTGACGAGGAAGAAAGGAGGAGGACAACTAGCTTACTCCCTTTACCTGACAGAAAGAAGGAAAGAACGACAGAGGGAGAGAAAGAGAGAGTTGCTTTGAAGGCATAGGAATAGACCAAGAACACACAACAGAAGACAACAGGAGCCTACAAGTACAAAGGATTTTTAAAAGGGGGAGCATGACTACTATTCAAGTGACTGTGTATGGACCAAAGAAACAGTGGAGAGAGAATTCTAATGGACAGCTCAATTTGGATAGAGGAGTGGACATTACTGCGAGTCCTCCTAAAAAACTGTCCCACTCTATCGAGGAGATCCTGAAGAAGCCATTCAGAGTGGGAGAAGAGAGGCGAAAGGGGCTAAGTGGATGGTCTGTTAACAGACAGAATGAAGAATGCCCATACCAACATGTACATACAGGTACTGTGTGTTCAATTGACCTTGACTTGTTATGTTACCATTATGGGCAGGCTTTGGGGGAGTATACATTAGAAGGTGTTAGATGTCAAATGGCTCATGCTGTCTCAAGTCTGGGAAATTGTATTCTGTGTATCATATTTTACGGTAACATTATCTGAGTTGAGCTAATAGTTCTTGGAGTTATTTTTAGGACAAATATAATCAAGCAATATTCTGCTTTCTTTCTGTCCACAGAAGGAACGTTTCAACACAGGGTGCGGCCACAGCATGTGCACATCGTCACTGACTGGAGAGGTGACCATACTTCATTTCACCACAACACAGAGGTCACAAGACTACACCCTGGAGAGTGCAACATTGACCGCATCTCCCCAGACCACAGTGGGGACTCCAGCAGCCACAGTAATGGCTCCTGTAAGGATAGTATTGTTCAGGACAGAGCAGGGAGAGAGGAGGGCCAGGACCAAGGCAGAACCCAGTGGGAGAGGAACAGCTGCCAGGCTCGTCATGGTGAGATTTAACACAGGTCTTACAGTCAATATTGCTGGAATCAAGCAGTGGAATTATATCTGAGGATGAACGACATTACAAAAAAGGGTTTTTGATTATGATGATGATAATGAGGAACGACGACGGATGATGATGATAATTATGATGATGATACAGACTCTTTTGCTTGTGTTTGGTGTGCACAGTGCAGAGGAGGAGAAGGAAGACCCGAACCAGCTTCACTACAGGTCAGGTGGAGAAGCTGGAGAAGGTGTTCCTGGAGACCCACTATCCTGATGTCCACATCCGGGACACGCTGGCCTCTCATCTGCAGCTCACTGAGGGAAGAGTACAGGTATGCTAGCATGAAACAGATAAATATAGAGGTGAAAGAAACGCACACCTATTTAGGCGAGGTGCTGGCTAAAGAAGTAAAACACTTGAAAAAGAAAAGGAAAGCAGCACACTCTGGGAGCTCAAATGTAATAATTTAATAACCTAATAACCAACGTTTCGACAGACAAGCTGTCTTTATCAGGGTATAATGACAAACACTACTGGTCACTAGTTTATATGGTGTCAAAGGACACAAGCAGGTGTCTGTAATCATGGCCAGGTGTAGCCTAACAGCATTGGTTAATTCACAGATAAACAGAACATACAAAAAACATGGATAGCATATGATCATAGATACAACTTGGCTACATAGGCCCACAAACATTTACAATGAATAGCAAAATCACAAGAATGGCTTCAAATCAAAGTATAAGTTGAGACCGAAGGGAGCAAGGGTCTTTAAATTAAAGATCCAGGCAGCCTCTCGTTTTAACAATAAGTTGTCGAGGTCACCCCCTCTCCTAGGGAGGGTGACATGTTCGATGCCGATATAACGTAGGGACGAAATCGAGTGGTTCGCTTCCAAAAAGTGGGCAGCGACTGGGTATGTCGAGTTTTTGCACCTAATGGTGCTATGATGTTCCGAGATTCGTACTTTTAATTCGCGCTTTGTTTTACCCACATAATGTTTACCACAAGGACAAGTGGAGCACGTAACAACCCCTTTGATTGGGATCTGTTTCCCTGTTTGGGGGTGTTTAAAGGATCTACATTTGTAAGTGCCATTGCATTGAGCGCAGCCGTTACACTTGTAGTTTCCATCCCGTAGAGGCGCAAATAGACGTTGTGCAGGGATATTTAGGGGTGGTAAATCCGAGTTTACCAATTGATCTGAGGTTTCTGCCCCGCGAAAATACAACCAAGGGAGGGTCCGAAAACACATTACCAATACTGTCATCGGATCTTAGAATGTGCCAATGTTTGTGAACGATTCCCTTAATTTGTTCAGAGCACTTTGAATAGCGTGTCGTTAGAACGCAATAATGCTTCTTTTTGCGAGACTGTCCCTGAAATGGCAGTATTAATCTGACAATTTTTGTACCCCTCTCCTTGAATGTTCTTTGCGTCTCAGCCATATATCGATCGAAATCTGATAGTTTTTTTTTACAAATTATTTTGATTCGACAGAATTGGCTGTAGGCAGAGGTGTAGTCCAGGGTATACGCTGGTATACGGCGTATACCTACTTATTTTTCAGTCAGCATTGCGTATACCCACTTCTAAATCCCCCCTGATGCGCATCATTCAGTAATATCTGTGAGTCAGATTGCCTATTTTCTTCCTCGGGGATAGTGAAGCCATGACCCACCCTCCTCTGCCTCTAATTGGCTGGTACTCGCTGCTTTCACTGATTAGATTGGTTAACTTTAGGCATGAGGACTGATGAGCCAATCAGAGGCAGAGTAGGGCGGGTCATGCCGAGGAAAATATCGCTAATACCTCAGGTGCCAGTGAAAAAAAAAAAAAAAAAAAACTCAGGTGCCGGTGCCACTTGACTACGATAACGGCAGCAGACCAAACAACGGATGAAGAAAGGACACAAGCGGCGGTGTGCCACCCCAGTTGATGGAAGACATCATTCTGAGGTAAGTTTTAAGGTGGTTTCCAAATGAATCATTATTTTAAACTACTGGCAAATTGCCAGTGACTGCACATTTAGAGGAGAAGAGATGTTGCCGCCAATAGTTAGTGCGAGTCTAGCTACGTAGATTGGGATAATGTGGGGAAACCGGGGCATTGTTGGTTTTCAGTAAGTGTTTAATCAACCCAGTTCATAAGAATTTCATACCAGACTGATGAAACTGATTATCTCAATGTTTATGAAGCTTGTTTATTATTGTAAAGGTCTAAATTATAACGTTAGCCAAGTTACTAAGCCCTAAATTATAACATTAGCCAAGTTACTTAGCCCTAACTAACCTATATGATCTAGTTTAATTGCATAGTAGCTAAGCTGGTAGTTGATTTTTAAGTAAGTTAAAACACAAGAATGGGGACAAATAGTTTAAGATTCAGCCTAAAACAATATTGAGGTCTAATCAGGCTGTCTTATTTTGTATAGGGACAGGTAACCATGAAAAGGAAGGGAGATATTGCAGACTTTTTTGTAAAGAGGCACAAATCAGGCCCAGATCAGGCCCAGGCAGACCCCACCCCTAAAACCAGCAGCCCTGGCAGCTCTCAACCGGGAGCTAGCCAGGCAAGTCAGTGTGAGCATAGAGAAGGATCCAGTCTACCACCACCAGGTCAGAACACACAGGCAGTAAATTGCATCTCCAGTTTATTGAAAAGTGAAGCCTCACACTGTAACAAAAGGTGATTTTGACAGATTAAGCCTCATTTTGAATTTCTGTGTGATGTTATTTATTTTATTGCCCTTCTATTTATTTTGTCTGTATCCATGTTTGTTTTTTACAATGCTACTGTTATATAACATTTTGTACATTTTGTGTTAAATTTGTTGTTTTTTTGTTAAATAAACTCTCCCAAGTATTTCACTCACTAATCTCCTGTATGCTTCAGCTTCACTTGCTGAAAATATTTCCACTTGGTTATGCAGATTGTTAATGTAAAGAGGGGGACCCATGTCTTGCTGATGACTATTGTGATCACAGTAGTGTGTGTGTGTGTGTGTGTGTGTGTAAGTGTGTGAGAGAGAGAGAGACAGGGAGATGCATAATTAGTTTTGTTGTTGTCTGTAGACATCAATAATGACTGGCCAGACCTGTGGAGTGCTAAACAAACAGAAGACTTCAAATCCAAGAACCCCTGGTTGGGATCCAAAAACAAAAAATTGGGTAAGTTTAGGTAGATTGCTAGTTTGGGTAACTTCTGAAACAGTGGGCACAGATAACTTTGTGTGTGTGTGTGTGTGTGTGTGTGTGTGTGTGTGTAAAGGACCATGCACACGTACAGCTGTGGATACAGGAGTAGTTACATTGTTTGTTTATGCTTCGCAGGATGTCTGGTCTGTAGCAGTGTGAACTCCATTGGGATCGACAAGGAGCAAGGACAAGGTGTATCGCTCTCAAGAGAATGGATGAACTTTGAAATTCAAGTGTCTGGCCAGGGAAGTAGAACAACAAGTTTGTCAATCTTGAGAAATAAGGTGAGGAAACATGCGTTGTCCAAGGCCCACACTCAGGCTGTGAAGGTGGCAGAGCAACAGAAAGAAGCTGCCATTGAGAATGCAGTGGAGACTATGACTGAGTCCTACATGAAGGAAACTGAAGCTGTGTTTCGAACAGCCTACCATCTGGCCAAAAAGAACCGACCCTTTTCTGACCATGAGAGCCTCATTGAGCTGCAGGAACTGAATGGTGTAAAAATGGGCTCAATACTTCATTCACGTTACAGTGCAACACAAATAATACAACATGTTGCTAGTGAGATGCAGAGCAAAATCATCAGCAGCATTATAGCATCATCCAGTAAGTTAGCTGTCCTAATTGACGAGGCATCTTCTTTAAGTCACAAAGCTGTCATGACAGTTTCTATTAAAGCATCAATTCAAGAAGAAAGCCCTGAGTTCATATTCCTGGAACTTGTTGAACTGGAAAATCAGAGAGCAGATGGCATATTACAGGCGTTACTCACCTGTTTAACTAATGCTGGCTTTACAGAAGAGTGGCTTCATGAAAACTGGGTAACATTTGTATCTGATGGAGCCAGTGTCATGCTAGGAAAGAAGTCAGGAGTAGCAACCAGACTGACTTTGAGATTCCCAAAGCTTTTTGTATGGCACTGCATGAACCATAGACTTGAACTTGCTGTGTCAGATGCAGTTGATGAGGTAAACTCTGTCAATCACTTTAAAACTTTTATCCAGAAGCTATACTCTCTGTATAGTGTGTCAAACAAAAATGAACGTGAACTTGTTAATGCAGCAGCTGAAGTAGGCTCACAACTTCTTCGCATTGGCAGAATCTTGGATGTACGCTGGGTGGCCAGTAGCTTTCGGACTGTTCGTGCTGTTTGGACATCCCTGGGAGCTCTTGTGCAGCACTTTAAAAATGCTTGCAGTGATGAGATGAGGTCCACCAAAGAGAGGCAGATGTACAGAGGTTTGTTAGACCGTGTTCAAAGTCCAGAATTCATTTGTGACCTTGGCCTCATGTACGACACTCTCCATGAACTAAGTCTCCTGTCACAGGAGCTTCAGTCTCGTTCTATAACGCTCCTCAGAGCAGAGCATCTGCTGAAACGCTCAATCAGAGTGATCCAGTCATTCAAAGAGAGTCCAGGTGAGAAATATAGTGAGGCTTTAGAAGCAAAACAGACTGGGGAGTATCGGTCTATAGCCCTGAAAACAAATGCAAAGCTGAAGTCTATCAATCCAGGCCAGTTCTTACAAAGCCTTGTGAACAATCTGGAGAAACGCTTGTCTTTTGAAGATGAGACCATCATGGACCTCAGCATCCTTGATCAGAGTAAGTGGCCATCAAAGCCCAGCATCCGCCATGGTGAAGAACAAGTTAAGCGACTGTGCAAGCGATTTAACTTGTGCACAGACCAAGCACTGAATGGGATGCGGGACCTACTGGAAGAGCCCAGTAGTGAGCCCAAGGACCTAAAACCACTTATGAACTGTATGAAAACATTCCCTGTCGGTACAGCAGAGTGTGAGAGGAATTTTAGCCTTATGAACAATATAAGCTCAGACAAGAGGGCTGTCCTTCTGATCTCAAACATATCAAACTTGATGATGATTAATATCAACGGCCCACCAACTTCCAAGTTTGATCCTAGAAAATATACAAGGACCTGGTTGAAGAGCCATCGTGCTGCCTCTTCGGTGCGTTCTAGACAGTGCAGTGTGAAAGCTCCTGCAGAAAGCAAATTTGTCTGGAATATACTGTAGTATGAGCAAAGGTCAGAAACCCAGTGCTGGGTTGAGAGAGTATATCACTGTTGATGTGTTGTTAATGCATATATTTTTGTTAATTGTTAACTAAATATTGTTGTAACATATTTTGTTGAATGATTTACCGGTAAATGAACATGTTCAAAACAAAGCATATAGCAATATGAACAAGGATGCATTGTCACCTTCAGATTTGAAGTATTTTATTTAAATAAATGTGCAAAAAATAATCGAAACACCATTTCCTGTTTGCCTCATGATAAATACATTTTACATTCATCCAGGCTGCTCTTGTGACCAGTAGTAACTACAAACTGCTCCTAATCAAGTCATGATCATTTTATAATAGTGTGCAAGTAGAAATTACATATTTTTGGGTAAACTAAATCATAGTCTTACATGTCACTGTTTCTAAAACAGGGCTTTTTTCTGGACTACTTAAAAAAAAAAAAGGTGAATACTGAGAGTATACCCATTTCTCCAGGGACCACTACACCACTGGCTGTAGGGCAAACTGTTTTTCAAGGGAAGCGGGTGACAACTATCAGCCCTCAACAAACTGTTACGTTCAGTAGGTTTCCTTTAAAGATCAGTGTATAGAACATTATCCTCAAACAAAATCAGAAGATCAAGGAAACTGATTTGACGTGTGTCAGATTGCATAGTAAATCTCATGTGCTCAGAACAAGAGTTAAGAAAAACAGAATGCCTGGAGCTGTTTTAAGTCACCCCTCCATAGAACAAAAATATAATCGATGTACCATTTCCAAATAATAATGTTAGGCAATAAATGTTAGGCAAATTGACTGTTTCTCAATGTAACCCACATACAAATTAGCATAGTTAGGAGCCATAGGGGATCCCATAGCAGTACCTTTCGTCTGAATAAAGAAATAATTTAGAAACATGAAGTAGTTGTGTGTGAGTACTATTTCAGCCAGTGTCATAATGCATGCACTGGAAGGTAGTTCATTTGGGTCACGTTGCAGAAGAAAATGTTCCATTGCTTCAATACCGCCCCCGTGTGGAATATTCGTATATAACGACTCAACATCAAAAGTAACTAACAAGGTATTATCAGGGAGAGGATCAAGAGATTCAATAGAGATCATACTGCTGGTGTCCTTTACAAAGGAGGGGAGCTTTTCTGCGAGAGGTCTAATAAAAAAGTCAACAAAGGTCGATAAAGGGGCTGTTACTGCATCAATGCCCGCTACAATAGGGCGCCCTGGAGGTTTTGTAACATCCTTGTGTAATTTCGGCAAAGTATAGAAAGTGGCAATTTTAGGGTGTTGAATAGCCAAAAAATCGTGTTCTTTTTTTGGTGTTTTTTGTTGAAACATCCGTTTAAGGGAATACTTTAGCTCCCCTAATCGTGATATTTCAACTGAACATGTAGGTGGCTCACCTGCACATACTCCGACTCCTTTCAGAAGTAAGAGTTACTTTGTACCTCCAGCCAATCGCAATCACTCTATTGAGACATGTTGAAAAAGATGTTGGTAATCTCCTTAAGAACAAACAGGAGTACGTATCTTTTCAAAATTTACCCAAGGATGAAAAACAAGCTTTGCTTGATTTACAATCCGATACGTCAGTTCTTACCCGCCCTGCTGATAAGTGTGGGTCGGTTGTACTCATGGATAGTTTAGGACAGATCCTTTAAACACCCCCAAACAGGGAAACAGATCCCAATCAAAGGGGTTATTACGTGCTCCACTAAGGCAGTTATTTATCTTATAACTTGTCCTTGTGGTAAACATGTGGGTAAAACAAAGCGCGAATTAAAAGAATGAATCTCGGAACATCATAGCACCATTAGGTGCAAAAACTTGACATACCCAGTCGCTGCCCACTTTTTGGAAGCGAACCACTCGATTTCGTCTCTACGTTATATCGGCACCTCGACAACTTATTGTTAAAACGAGAGGCTGCCTGGATCTTTAATGTAAAGACCCTTGCTCCCTTTGGTCTCAACTTTGATTTGAAGCCATTCTTGTGATTTTGCTATTCATTGTAAATGTTTGTGGGCCTATGTAGCCAAGCTGTATCTATGATCGTATGCTATCCAGGTTTTTTGTATGTTCTGTTTAACTGTGAATTAACCAATGCTATTAAGCCACACCCGGCCATGATTACAGACACCTGCGTGTGTCCTTTGACACTATATAAACTAGTGACCCGCAGTGTTTGTCATTATACCCTGATGAAGACAGCTTGTCTGTTGAAAGTTGGTTATTGCATCTGAGTTACTAGAGTGTGCGGCTTTCCTTTTCTTTTTCAAATGCTAACATGAAACACCTGTGACATGGTGAAATATATCTACAGTTTAAGCTTCTTATGAGTACATTGATTACAAGTAAAATTAATTAAACGTTGTAGTATATGGGTTCAACAAAGATTTCCAATTGAATTTTACAAAAAATCTTAAAATATTACAGCAATAATCAGTGAGAATAAAATACTGACACTGTTATGAAGAGTTGTCTTGATTTATCACTTATCCATGTTTGCCATCTGGAGAAAACAGAAACAGTCCTTATCATCTGCTTACATACAGTTGAAGTCGGAAGTTTACATACACTTAGGTTGGAGTCATTAAAACTCGTTTTTCAACCACCACAAATTTCTTTTTAACAAACTATAGTTTTGACAAGTCTGTTAGGACATCTACTTTGTGCATGACACAAGTAATTTTTTAAAGGATGAACCAGACTTGTGGAGGTCTACACATTTTTTTTCTGAGGTCTTGGCTGATTTCTTTTGATTTTCCCATGATGTCAATCAAAGAGGAACTGAGTTCGAAGGTAGGCCTTGAAATACATCCACAGGTACACCTCCAATTGACTCAAATGATGTCAATTAGCCTATCAGAAGCTTCTAAAGCCATTACATCATTTTCTGGAATTTTCCAAGCTGTTTAAAGGCACAGTCAACTTAGTGTATGTAAACTTCTGACCCACTGGAATTGTGATACAGTGAATTATAAGTGAAATAATCTGTCTGTAAACTAAACAATTGTTGGAAAAATTACTTGTGTCATGTACAAAGTAGATGTCCTAACCGACTTGCCAAAACTATAGTTTGTTAACAAGAAATGTGTGGAGTGGTTGAAAAACGAGTTCTAATGACTCCAACCTAAGTGTATGTAAACTTCCGACTTAAACTATATAAACACCATGGGACCACGCAGCCGTCATACCGCTCAGGAAGGAGACGTGTTCTGTGTACTACTGATGAACGTACTTTGGTGCGAAAAGTGCAAATCAATCCCAGAACAACAGCAAAGAACCTTGTGAAGATGCTGGAGGAAACAGGTACAAAAGTATCTATATCCGCAGTAAAACGAGTCCTATATCGACATAATCTGAAAGGCCGCTCAGCAAGGAAGAAGCCACGGCTCCAAAACCGCCATAAAAAAGACAGACTACGGTTTACAACTGCACATGGGGACAAAGATCGTACTTTTTGGAGAAATGTCCTCTGGTCTGATGAAACAAAAATAGAACTGTTTGGCCATAATGACCATCGTTATGTTTGGAGGAAAAAGGGGGGGGCTTGCAAACCGAAGAACACCATCCCAACCGTGAAGCACGAGGGTGGCAGCATCATGCTGTGGGGGTGCTTTGCTGCAGGAGGGACTGGTGCACTTCACAAAATAGATGGCATCATGAGGAAGGAAAATGATGTGGATATATTGAATTAACATCTCAAGACATCAGTCAGCAAGTTAAAGCTTTGTCGCAAATGGGTCTTCAAAATGGACAATGAACCCAAGCATACTTCCAAAGTTGTGGCAAAATGGCTTAAGGACAACAAAGTCAAGGTATTGGAGTGGCCATCACAAAGCCCTGACCTCAATCCTATAGAAATGTGTGGGCAGAACTGAAAAAGTGTGTGCGAGCAAGGAGGCCTACAAACCTGACTCAGTTACACCAGCTCTGTCAGGAGGAATGGGCCAAAATTCACCCAACTTTTTGTGGGAAGCTTGTGGAAGGCTACCCGAAACATTTGACCCAAGTTAAACAATTTAAAAGCAATGCTACCAAATACTAATTGGGTGTATGTAAACTTCTGACCCACTGGGAATGTGATGCAATAAATAAAAGCTGAAATAAATCATTCTTTCTACTATTATTCTGACATTTCACATTCTTAAAATAAAGTGGTGATCCTAACTGACCTAAAACAGCGAATTTTACTAGGATTAAATGTCAGGAATTGTGAAAACCTGAGTTTAAATGTATTTGGCTAAGGTGTATGTAAACTTCCGACTTCAACTGTAAGTTAAACACCAAGTTATCTGTCGGAGGGCACAAACAAACATTTGCTATCATGCTAACTCATTCACTGTTGTCTTCAGATTTGGTTCCAGAACCGCAGAGCCAAATGGAGGAAGACTGAGACGCTAAGGGACGTGAAAATGATGGCCAGAGACCAGTCCCCTATATGTACATCCAAACCTGGGCTACTTTATAGTAAGGTGGGTGTAATATAGTTTTAATCAAAACCAGCAAGTGTATAATTACATTGCTTAGGCATTGAAACAAACTATTAAATACAATATTCAAATGGCCACCCGGACTATTTGCATTGACCCCCCCCCCCCCCCCCCCCCCCCCCTTTGTTTTGACTGCTGCAACTCACTGTTTATTATCTATGCATAGTCACTTTACCCCTACCTACATGTACAAATTATCTCGACTAACTTGTACCCCCGCACAGCCTCCACAGATACAGATGTGTCAGATAAGGATACAGATAGACAGTATACAGTGGATGCTGCTGAGGGGAGGACGACTCATAATAATGTCCGGAATGGAGTATACCATTCCATTCACTCCATTCCAGCCATTACACTCCATTCCAGACATTACACTCCATTCCAGACATTATTATGAGCCGTCCTCCCCTCAGCAGCCTCCACTGACAGTATATGTGACTGTATAAGATGTGAGTCATGCTTGAGACAGTTGACAAAATCCTCAATAAAATGATCCTGTCATTTGTTTCCATGACAAATCAGGGTGAAGAGGCTATCTCTCTGTTTCCGTTGAATGCTTACTCACTACGGTACGGGCCGTACCAACTACTACAAAAGCTTCACCCAGGGGGATTTCCATTCCAGCCTTTTCTACCTATGTTGCCACACCTGCATCACCAAGCTCTATGCTCCCCCTGGATCTGACATTCATTCCCCATCCCAATAGTCACTTTCAGTTGACACAATGAACACTAAAGCAATTCATCTTCAAAGCTTTGTAAATAGGATGCATCTGTATGTTGTCATCTGTGTCCGTGATGATGGAATCATGGTGCTGCTGTTGAAACTGATGAATGAATTGATAATTGAGTATTATCTCGCACAGATAAAGCAATATGGCTGAGTAAAGTGAATGAAATGTTTATGTTCTTTATCAACTCACTTCCACTTATCCAGATATGTTGATTGGAATTGTATAATGATATTGTAAATACATGAATACACATACATAAATAAATACTGTAATACATCTAATTCCTAATGATTACATTTGTGTTGTGGCTGTATTTCTTATGTGGCTGTGGTTCTGAAAATCTTGTGTAACATTGATGTTAAGAATAGTCCCTGTACACTAAAATAGGCTCTGAAAGATAATCCCTATTGTAGGACTTCTTATGTACAGGTATAAATACATGTGAAAGTGTACATTTCCATAAATAAAGCTGGTAATAATAGCCCTTTATTTACAACAGAATGCCTCTGAAGCTGCTTATTCAACCTACTTGTGTTTTGGTGATAACTCTCAATACGGATATTATGTGAGGAGTGTATTTCTGAGTACAACGGTTTAATGGCATAATTATCTGCAGGACAGATGGTTTAGCTATGTGTTTATAGTCTACAAAGATCTACTATTGTGTACCCTAGCAACCCTTCCCTTCCTTATCGTTTCTATGGGTTTATTGTTATATTGTCTCCTTATCTTAATTTGAGCTGGGGTTATTGATGGGTCAGATGGTGAATTCAGAGAAGTACATTTTCAAGAATTTCAGCTATATTTGACCCCTACTGACAAAATGTAGACAGGATACAACCTTTTAAAACTTTTTCTGTGTCATCCTCGATGATTGTAAGTGCAGTGTGTCCACATATGGGGTTGTATTTGATGTTTTTTTAATGGTCAAATAAATCAAATAAAAAATACAGTACGTCTTGTACTAGACAAGATACAGTACATATCTGGTACTATTATGGTTCCAATGGCTCAGAATGTTGGACTGTTTTGGTTTCTGAAAGGCCACATATGGAATGAGTTAACTGTATAACTCAGTTTGGAGTAAACTTGTCTGCTTACTGACCATACAATACATGAAGATTTAAAAAAAAATATTTATCACTTATATACAGTGGGGAGAACAAGTATTTGATACACTGCCGATTTTGCAGGTTTTCCTACTTACAAAGCATGTAGAGGTCTGTAATTTTTATCATAGGTACACTTCAACTGTGAGAGACGGAAAATCCAGAAAATCACATTGTATGATTTTTAAGTAATTCATTTGCATTTTATTGCATGACATAAGTATTTGATACATCAGAAAAGCAGAACTTAATATTTGGTACAGAAACCTTTGTTTGCAATTACAGAGATCATACGTTTCCTGTAGGTCTTGACCAGGTTTGCACACACTGCAGCAGGGATTTTGGCCCACTCCTCCATACAGACCTTCTCCAGATCCTTCAGGTTTCGGGGCTGTCGCTGGGCAATACGGACTTTCAGCTCCCTCCAAAGATTTTCTATTGGGTTCAGGTCTGGAGACTGGCTAGGCCACTCCAGGACCTTGAGATGCTTCTTACGGAGCCACTCCTAAGTTGCCCTGGCTGTGTGTTTCGGGTCGTTGTCATGCTGGAAGACCCAGCCACGACCCATCTTCAATGCTCTTACTGAGGGAAGGAGGTTGTTGGCCAAGATCTCGCGATACATGGCCCCATCCATCCTCCCCTCAATACGGTGCAGTCGTCCTGTCCCCTTTGCAGAAAAGCATCCCCAAAGAATGATGTTTCCACCTCCATGCTTCACGGTTGGGATGGTGTTCTTGGGGTTGTACTCATCCTTCTTCTTCCTCCAAACACGGCGAGTGGAATTTAGACCAAAAAGCTCTATTTTTGTCTCATCAGACCACATAACCTTCTCCCATTCCTCCTCTGGATCATCCAGATGGTCATTGGCAAACTTCAGACGGGCCTGGACATGCGGTGGCTTGAGCAGGGGGACCTTGCGTGCGCTGCAGGATTTTAATCCATGACGGTGTAGTGTGTTACTAATGGTTTTCTTTGAGACTGTGGTCCCAGCTCTCTTCAGGTCATTGACCAGGTCCTGCCGTGTAGTTCTGGGCTGATCCCTCACCTTCCTCATGATCATTGATGCCCCATGAGGTGAGATCTTGCATGGAGCCCCAGACCAAGTGTGATTGACCGTCATCTTGAACTTCTTCCATTTTCTAATAATTGCGCCAACAGTTGTTGCCTTCTCACCAAGCTGCTTGCCTATTGTCTTGTAGCCCATCCCAGCCTTGTGCAGGTCTACAATTTTATCCCTGATGTCCTTACACAGCTCTCTGGTCTTGGCCATTGTGGAGAGGTTGGAGTCTGTTTGATTGAGTGTGTGGACAGGTGTCTTTTATACAGGTAACGAGTTCAAACAGGTGCAGTTAATACAGGTAATGAGTGGAGAACAGGAGGGCTTCTTAAAGAAAAACTAACAGGTCTGTGAGAGCCGGAATTCTTACTGGTTGGTAGGCGATCAAATACTTATGTCATGCAATAAAATGCAAATTAATTACTTAAAAATCATACAATGTGATTTTCTGGATTTTTTTTAGATTCGGTCTCTCACAGTTGAAGTGTACCTATGATAAAAATTACAGACCTCTACATGCTTTGTAAGTAGGAAAACCTGCAAAATCGGCAGTGTATCAAATACTTGTTCTCCCCACTGTATATGAACAATGCTGATACACCAATTAGTTAAGTAAAGGTGCATGTGGAAAGTGGAAAGAGTAACCAATTAAAAAACACTCGCATTTTCTGGATACATTTGCATATTTATTGGACTTCATTTATTCTATTTTTATTCCACTGAGCTGTTATTTTGTACTATTTTTCAAATGAATTACTTCTATTGTATTATTGTCACATTTTTGAGAGGTGAACCTGCAAGTACGCATTTCATTGTACTGTGTACACCATGTGTATCCTGTGTATATGACAATAAACTTGACTTGACTTGTTTGGCTACAGTGGCTTGCGAAATTATTCACCCCCCCTTGGCATTGTTCCTATTTTGTTGCCTTACAACCTGGAAATAAAATGGATTTTTGGGGGGGTTTGTATAATTTGATTTACACAACATGCCTACCACTTTGAAGATGAAAAATATTTTTTCTTGTGAAACAATCAATACTTTGTAGAGCCACCTTTTGCAGCAATTACAGCTGCAAGTCTCTTGGGGTATGTCTCTATAAGCTTGGCACATCTAGCCACTGGGATTTTTGCCCATTCTTCAAGGCAAAACTGCTCCAGCTCCTTCAAGTTGGATGGGTTCCGCTGGTATACAGCAATCTTTAAGTCATACCACAGATTCTCAATTGGATTGAGGTCTGGGCTTTGACTAGGCCATTCCAAGACATTTTAATGTTTCCCCTTAAACCACTCGAGTGTTGTTTTAGCAGTATGCTTAGGGTCATTGTCCTGCTGGAAGGTGAACCTCCGTCCCAGTCTCAAATCTCTGGAAGACTGAAACAGGTTTCCCTCAAGGATTTCCCTGTATTTAGCGCCATCCATCATTCCTTCAATGCTGGCCAGTTTCCCAGTCCCTGCCGATGAAAAACATCCCCACAGCATGATGCTGCCACCACCATGCTTCACTGTGGGGATGGTGTTCCCGGGGTGATGAGAGGTGTTGGGTTTGCGGAGGTCCCATTCTGTGAGCTTGTGTGGCCTACCACTGAGCTGTTGTTGCTCCTAGACGTTTCCACTTCACAATAACAGCACTTACAGTTGAACGGGGCAGCTCTAACAGGGCAGAAATTTGACTAACTGATTTGTTGGAAAGGTGGCATCCTATGACGGTGCCATGTTGAAAGTCACTGAGCTCTTCAGTGAGGCCATTCTACTGCCAATGTTTGTCTATGGAGATTGCATGGCTGTGTGCTCGATTTATACACCTGTCAGCAACGGGTGTTGCTGAAATAGCTGAATCCACTAATTTGAAGGGGTGTCCACATACTTTTGTATATATAGTGTACCTCATCACAGACATAATTCATGAATGACCATATGTTGCGACCTGTTGCCTTTGTCGCTCGTTTGGAATACAGAAGTGAACAACCATGTATATACATTTTTGTTGATAGCAAGCACTGTCCTTACTAATAACTGTAGGTTTTTATCCTTACTGGCCGTGGGATGTTCCTGTATCATCCAGTAGATGACAATGTTAATGTAACCAACGTTAACCCAGTTTAAATGACTCTGCTTCTATTTTTTTTATTTTTTTTGTAGCCTAATTAAACTCATTTTACATTTCAATTCTTGTCTGGATATAATACACCTTAACACCATAGAAATATGGTTTGGTCATTTGTACAGCATAAAACACGAATATTGACAGTGATTGAATCCAATATCTCTTAAGAAAATAATATTTTAGGTAACTCTAAAAATAATATTTGTCAAAATTCTGATCTTCACAGGTTACAGGTAGGCCTATTCAAAATTACCCAGCCAATATATTTTATTTTCTCAGCGTTGACAGGCAAGATGTGTCGACGTGTAGTCCTACTGACGTCACGGGAGAGCGGATGGATGCAACTTCGTGGACCACTTTGCTTCATAATAATCGAGAGATGGCGTCCGGCACTCCGTGAATAAGCAAAAATTATCATAAAGAATTGATGAAGAGGTCACTCTACTGGAATGTATCATTATGCTACGACCCCTCAATTGAAGTAGGCTAATAATCATCATATTTCACTGATAGAAACAGCATTTATTTTGGTGCTCTTCCGCAATAGCCTATTCCACCTGGCTTCCGCACATTTAACAGGGGGGTGGGTTCCGCTGCGTTTGTTTCAGCATCCTCCAGCTTCAGCCTCTGTGTATCCAACGCAAGGAGACTGGGAGAGAAGGGCGATGGCTGCCGGTAGAGGATACGGGGAGACTGTGGATCAGTACCGTGCGGAGGTGGAGCGGCTCACCCAGGAACTTGCGGAAGCGAACAGAGAGAAGATCAGGGCGGCAGAATGCGGTCTTGTTGTGTTGGAAGAGAACCAGACTCTGAAGCACCAGTATGCCGATCTGGAATCGGAACAGGAGACGCTGAAGCAAGAGTTGGAACAATTACAAGAGGTAGGTTATACAGTATGTTACAGTAGGATACAGCCTTTCTTTCCTTATTCAAGAGAATTCAATGCTGTATGGGTCAATCAGGACCAAACCTATTATTAGATCATATTACTAGGCTACATGAAATGGCAAGACACATTCATTGTATATAAACTATAGCATGTTTATTTAAATTTGG